GAGGCAGACCGTCACGTGTTCGACCTGAAGCCCAAACACCTTCTGGCTGGAAAGAGGAAGTCTGGGTCCACCGACCGCCGCTAACCCCCGGGGCGCTGATAGCCACTGTCGACGGCCAAGGGCAGAGCTTAGCTGAACGAAGGCTGCCCCACTCTGGCAAACCTATACCTCATTTGCCTGTCCTTTGCATACAATTTAACTGTTCTTTAGTGGATGTTTTGTGGAAATGGGATCTCTGTTGGAAAAGTGTTTTTGTAAATACAGACATATTTACCGTTATCAGTGATAGCACAGGATGTGAGGACGTTGCTGCAGTTCTGCTTTAGCTGCCCTGGAGCTAATGTTAGCCCTACACCAGATTCAGTCTTGTTTCTTTGTCACTGGTTGCTTTGACTCTTCTCCCTTTGAACGGTGGGCCATCAGACTGTCTGGTCTCCCTGTATTAAAATCAGAACCTATACTGCCTTAATAGTCTTGCAAGTAACTGACAGTATGACTCATGGTACCGTGTGAATGGGGTTGAAACGTGGAAAGAGCACCCAGACGTGTAAGGGAAGGATGTTAGATTGGTGTTTCTCAGACTGATTCTCAGGGACCCCCAGCTAGCCCCCGTTTCCAGGAGCAGGGGTGGGACACAAATGTAGACCATCAGGCGGTCCCTGACGACCAGGTTGAGAAACACGGTTCTAGAGTCACCTGGAATCAGTTTCATGGGTCTGAAAGACACATGATCAGGTGCGTCATGAACCTGGGCAATTGGGGCTGAAACCCCAAGTGGTTTAACAATCTTTGTGATACATTACAACATTAAGACAGAATAATTCAAAAACACAGAAAATGAAAAAGCTGGAACCAAAAACTCAAGTAGAGGAAAAAAAACCAAGATGATGGCAATGGCTTTGCACAAAACCAAGCTTTTTGTTCATTTAATTTGTACCAAGGTAAACAGTTACAGAAAATATAGGGGATGCACATTGATCTTCCCCCAGCCTCGAGTCTTAGGCTGTGGAAGACGGCCCTGGGGTAGTCCATTTTCTATTCTTGGAGGGGGAAAACAAATTAACCCTGTTGATCTATTGAAAAAGTTCTCTATACAATTGGTCTTGATTTCACTTACAGGCACTTTACTTCGAGAAATGAGATTAAGATCACATTGGTACAATTACGACAGCAGCCATATCACAGTTTGTAGCCTTACTACATACGATGGATTGTGTCATGATCCATGAATTGCTTTAGATTATGAAGATTATCCCACCACTTGAATAGGAAAGTCTCTGCAATAAGCTTAAACCAGGGAGTGAATTCCAGTTTGTCATTCTTTGCCTTCTCCAGCATGTCTTTAAGCTCCTCCTTAGAGACGTAACAGTGGCTTTTAACCTCATTGGGATCTGGCGTCAGATCAACGTCCTTTTGTATGAACAAGATGTAGTCGATCTCATGCTCTCCCCAGATTCCATTTGACTGTGCCTTGTAGTGTATTCTCGTTAGGTAGGACATATATTCCGGAGGAACCTAAAGGCAACGGAAATTTGTCAAGAAAAGAAATTAAGCCTAAATATACATGGAAAATACTTTAAAAACCATATTTGGTCAAAGCTTACTCATGGTTATAATCAATTGCTCTGTTCCAGATCTATTTACGTACCGGGCTGAAATTGCACTTTTAATGGTAATATTGGCTTTGTTAAAAAAAGTGTTGTGTGTTGTCGCACACACCGCAATAAGATGGGGCACTTCTGACCTTGAATACCAGTGTCTTTTTTGCTCATGGTAGTTTTACTTGAACAAAAAAAAAATGTTCTGCCCTCAGAATGAAAAATGATTGGTTCAGAGATAACCAGTCCGATTGTAGAGAAGGTGGGTCCAACCAATGAGATCTCCCACGAGCGTGATCGTTTTACCTGGTCCGTGGGAATGCCCATCTCCGCGTTGAGGCGTCTCTGAGCGGCACGCCGAACGCCAATCGCGTCCTGCTCTTCCAGCTCGCTAGTGTCGTGCAGGGGGTGGCTACAACACGTGTTGGTGAATAACCCTGTAAAAAAAATAAGGTAATTAAAAGCTGTTTAGACCAAGAATGGTGATATACACTCCTCGATTTAGTGCACTGTAGTACAAGTGATACAGGTGACACCATAAACGGTGTTTATTGTATAAGCACCTACCTGGAAAGGTGATTTTGGCGTCAGATCTTTGCTGGAGAAGCAGTTTGTCTTCACTGTTAAACAGGAACACGCTAAATGCGCGATGCAATAAACCTTAAATTGAAACAAACGTTCGTTTTATTCATTCGATTTCTTTTTTCAGAATACCCTCCCCGGGGTTCTCTGGCTTAACTCAAGTATTTGGTATTGGCCACACTCGACCATCTCAGAATTTAACAATTTTGTGGCATTCTGGTTGCCCCTGGGCCAATACGAAAAAAAAATTTTTTTTCTGGCCAATCTCATATAGGTCAGGAGTTGCACTTGCTTGAAATTAAATATTTTCCTTCATTTGCAAAAATGCTTGGTCGGCCATTTTCAGATGGCACGTGGGGGAAAAAAATCGTGGATATACAAGTCTTTGGCCCAATTCCAAATATGTATTTAATTAGGTTGTTGCATGTAACAAAATTCTCTTTAAACTGCCAAGAGGCCCGGAATCTCAAGGGTAGTAAATATAGTCACTTTCATAATTGTCATCTAAAAGTTTTGGGTTCCCTTTACAACATATAAAAAAACAGAATAGTGGTTTCTGTTTTAATGGATTTATTGAGCTTCAAATGGTCAATAAAACCCTTAAACCAAATACTAAACCCGTATACTCAACAAAACCCTTAAAACCGAAAACACTTGTGTTTTATATGTTGTAAAGGAAACCTAGAACTGGATGGATGAGGATCTGAATATGAGGAAGGCTGGAGGAATTATGGATTTTAAATATTGGCCCTGGGGCAAACAAGATTCCACAAAACGGTTAAATGGCGTGGACCATTTGTTGAGTTGAGCCAGAATGATATTATGTAGAATGTATATTGGTTCTTGTCTGGTGCATGCATTTATTCTGACCGGTCGTTATGATTAAAGTGGTTGTGAATTTCTTTATTATTTGATCACGGATATCAATTTTACGGGATACTATACGAGTTTTGTTTCCTCTTCAGGAAACAAAATATAAAGTGATTATTCACGTCAACCGAGTAAACTAAACTTTATTTTGGAAAAGACGTTACCTTTCTCAATGTTTGAGTTCAGGTGGCAGTTTTTCTTGGTGTCAGCTCCAATTTTGTGGTCGTTTTCATCGATCAGTATACACATCTCCGAGAGAAGCTGGACCTGCTTCTCGTCCAAGTTATCTGTGCTTGTTTCTGGCATCTTTGTCGGTCCTTGCAAAACAACAGGATCCCAATATGGTCACGCAAACACTTCGTGATGTCGTAAAAGAATACAGGCAATTTTGATTAATTTATTTCCGTCTGATTCCTTGATTACCTGGGCAGGGGTACGTATTTAAAGACACGACGTAAACTATGCTTTTGGTGCACGATCTTTAAATTTCTCGAAGTGAACTGTTTTACCTCGGGTATGGTTTTTAGGTTTGTCCCTTGTCGGACACCATACCTAGTACCTCCTTCGCGCAGCGTGGGATCGTCAGACCCAAAGAGCGCACCAATCAAACCGAACAGGATTTAAAACACGTCATCGGACTATAGACACTTACGGATGGCGCCATCGTCGGTAACGTCCCTTGTTCTTTGACAACGGGACCAGTATCAGAAATCAGATATGCAATACAATTTGTGAAGATATAACAAACATGCAAAACACATTTAGATATAATTTGATTCATTTCAACGTCTTTGAAAAACCTGTCTGTCAGGCAGCAACATCATGTACAGCTTGTCAAACGTAAATAATCATTATTGTGGTATCTTGCATAAAACTTTTCTTGAATACACTTTCCAACATGTGCTCCATAGATTGTGATCTATAAGCAGTGGACAAGGTTATATGGACAACAAGCGTGTGTGTAGTCAATCGGGATTGAGTTTCCTACGATGAGTGTTTTATTGGGTGGTTTACATTTAACAACGATTTGCAAGTGTCGAGGTGATTGTCTGCCCCAAAGGTGATTAATGTTACTTAATAATCTTTGTTGTCCAGTGGCTAGCAAAGTTGCATTCCAAACAACTGACTTGGGGTTGATGTCCAGACAATGCAGGCCAGCTTTAGCGGGCGGGTTAAGAAGCAAGGTCATGGGTTTAACACCTATACAATCTGCGGGTCAAAGGATACTGGTGGCTTCATGGTTTCCTCACTTGTATTTTGCTTTACAGAAAAATGTCAAATATGTAAACTTTGTTACTTTTCATACCACAGTGAAACAACTAGTTAGTAGATGCCGTCCTGTTTTGGACTCGAGTTGATTTCTATTTTCGGATCGGGCTCCACTGTTCCTTGAGATGCATGAGCCGACGAAATCCCTCGTCCCTCAGTACGGAAAATGCCATTTCATCTTATGCAGTTATCGCTGTCATTTTAGTAGATATGTCATTAGCTCTGGTGCTGCTAACTTTCAGTATTAAGTTTAAATGGCGGACGTCAACATCGACCAAAAAAATTGCCATATCGGATCGCTATGAGGATTTCAACAAATATCGGCCGGTACAAATATGTTAACGATTTAATGTGCATTTCTGTAAACATGGTCTTTCTGTTAATCTTTATCAAAGGTGACGGTAATTCGAATTCAAGAGGATTCTAAAAAGGTAGCGATAAAAGTTTGAGACTGCAGTTTCATCCACATTTCAACAAATCTCGATATCCTTCATATATATAAAACGTTTAATCCATATGTATAAGAAATACATGGATACAATTTGTTACATTTAATCACTGTCTTCGTTTCATAACCTCACCGCACACATTAAAACTGAAAGACAAACCGCAAGTGCCGCGCAGCCGACTTATATATTTATGACGTCTGTGCGCGGATGACTGGAGGGCCGGTCACATGACACAGATGCACGTCACGTGACATAGAGGGCAAGTCGCGCTGACACGGGTGGAAAAGTAACGTCAAAACGGGAGATGGCGTACCATTGCAATCGCAGAATGCCTACCCGAAGGACACACTTGACTTTTTATTTTTCTGCAGCCACCAAGACAGTATTTTAGATCGGGGTTTAACGGTAAGGTTGTAATTTGCTGATGACCCGTCCTTTGTTTTGCTGTGTCCTAGTGGGACATTATGTACTTAAGGGGTATGGAAGACGATGACTCGGATTTTGAAACTGCAGGTGACATTGTTGAATTGCAGATCGTCCTCCTGACACATTTCATGCACATTCGGTTTCATGGTTAATTATTATGTGGAATTATATAACCTAACAGTACTTTTGGTAATCATACTGTTGTAACCTGGTGATGTTGAAAATAACCATGCATTTGTGCACTAAGTTGAAAGGCACATCTTGTTAATTGTTTAAGCGGTTGTGTACTAATTTAATACATCGGTACAATTTGTGTTACGTCAGCTGTTTAACTGGTAGAATATTTAGTCGAGTCAACCAGTGATATGAGAATTATTTAAAATGACATGGCCTTAGATCTGTGTGTGTTTACATTGGGTTAGCATTGACGTGTGTTTCTACCACTTAGCTCCGCTAGATATTAGAATGGGAGCTCTAATGTAGTAATTGATCGCGCAGCTTTTATGACCTTAAATGAGAGCATTTCCAGCCACAGCCAAGCTAATTAGCAAATGTGAGCAACATTTACCGAAAACATTGCTGCATGTTGCGTCTTATGAGGCAAGAGAGTAATCCGTTTATTTACCCAGTGATACGTTAGGAACCATGGAACTGCTTGGATAATTGACATTTACTGACAGGTATATGCATACGCTCCCAGACGCTGATATTCAGCGTCACAAAATGGTTGTCACATCTGTTACGGTCCAGTCTAGGGTTGGAGCGCAACAAAGTGAAAGGGAAGGAGGGATTGGGGAGGACAGGACAACTAGGGCTAGGAGAAGGGAACACGGGACACAAAGGGAGTCTTTTTTTTATAGTATAGTATAATAAGATTTCTACGGAAACGTTTTTTCCCCTTATTTGGATCTGTAATGCTGAAGATCATCACTGTATTTCATCTAGAGGTAGTATTAGCAGAATAGTTATAGCAACTTTGTTTCCCATCACCATTGGCAATATATAAGGAAATATGTAATCATCATCACTATATATAATTGTGCAACGGTGTTTCTGAAAACCTGTATAAAGTTGTGTCGTAAGAGGTGATGTATCCCTGTCTGTAGGTGGGCATTTGAATTCCGTTAACAGATGTGCTGTATTCTCTTCTCAATAGAAGCGAAGGATTTTGTTTTTGTCACTGGTTCATTAGACAAAACGAAAGAAGGATGACGGAACATTGTCATGTGTTGTAGTTTGGGCGTAGGAGTTTGTTTCTCTGCTTTTTGCGGAGGCCGGCGCTGAGGAGTTATGCCCGTTGAAGGTGGGAGCGCGGGGGGCGGCGGGGGCGTCCGCAGAGCCAAGCAGAAGCGCAAGTCGCACAGCCTCTCCATCCGCAGGACCAACAGCACGGAGCAGGAGCGTCCGGGGACGCTGAGGGACGCCGTGGACGCGCAGGTGGGAGCCTGAGCGCAGCGCCGCTGGGGTACATGATTGTGTTTTTAGATGTGCTTTGGGATCAGAGGGATTTGGAGCATTTGCCAGCAACAGCGGTTACTGGTTAGCTGGTTATTATAACGTTATTTTTTATATAGACTCTGGCTCATTGGCGATAAGGCTGCCAGGACATTTGGTCATCAATAGCCAAAAGCGTTCCCAGAATAGCCTCCCTGCTATATTCTGAAGTGATTGCCAAAAGCAATGGTAACTACTTGAAGAAACCTCATTTTGTGTACAGGGTACTAATGAGACTGATGCTGCAAATGCCTTGGAAAAATCACATATACGCTTTGAAAATTATTCCTGATCTTAAAAAGGTTATGGATTGAAATACATGAACTGATGCAAAAGTTTTCTTTAGATTCAGTTCAGATTGTCTTTTATCAACCTCTGTGAAGTGCAATAGCCATGAAATCATGAAGCATGCGATCAGAAGTATGATCAGTTTATTTTATTTTCTAAATTCTTGTAAGATGGCAGCTGAATTAAGCTGTAATTACAAACATATTGACGGGAATGGGGCATGATATTGCACAGTTGGGTCTTTTCACAATGATTGCATCTTGCCCTAAAATGATGACATGTCCATTATTGTGGCCATGGCAACCGTTTTACTTCCTTGGACAAGGGATGTATCGCTTGCTAAATGGAACTGATCTGTATTTCTGAATATCATAACTTTCAGCCAGGCAAGCCCCTCATTCTGGGACGTGTTTAGGTAATGATATTTATTAATCTAGAACAATAATACTAACGTTCTTTGACCATATTATAAAATGTGTTCTTTTAAGCAGTCATTGATTGTCGTTATGGGTAAGGTTGGCATAAGTGGGGATGATGCCTAGATGGGTGGCAGAGAATTAGTCCCAGGTCACTAAAAAGGCAGCGAGGCAGCTTCTGATGATCCCGCAGCTGTGGTATTTACCATTTAATGGCTCAGTAAACACCCAGCTGTCAATGTAATTAATAAACCTGTGATTTTCTGGCTGAGGCGGCTCAGAATCCAGCCCATGACGTGGATTGCGTCACTTTTAAATGGCTGTATGTCGCAAATACTGCAAATCTTCAAACTTCACCCCAAAGATCGCCTGCAGCCTTTTTCTTGTGTCTTTGTTTGTTCGCTTTTCCGCTTACAACTGCTCATCCTTCTCATCCTCTTTTCAACGCCCTGTAACCTTGAAATGAGCTCTTCCTTCAGAAGGAATTATAAACATACTGAAGAGGAATTACTGGAGATTGTGTGTGTGGTCTCTACAGGTTATTGTCCATATTTGTTTTACTGGAATTTTTACCTACTGAAGAGAAGGCTTTGTTGGAATAGTTCACCTTGTGGGTGATCGTTTGACAACTGTTTTATTATAATTTTGTGCCGCGGTTGGATGATGATGTATTTATTTGGGGAGGTATTGATTTTTGAGTGTTGCACACTAATTAGTGTAGCAGTCCATCTTCTGCTTCTTTACTTGTAAAATTTAGAGTAGTTAATGAATGTGAGGCACCTGCAGATTTGTGTAATGTTAATTTTGCCAAATTAGCTTTAAACTGTCCTTAAATTCAAGACTCATCAAGTGGTATTTTTAGTGTCGGATGGTATTGATCTCTGTGACGGATCAGTATCCCGAATTGCTGCTCTCCATCTGCATTAGGTCTCTGGCCATCATTTTAAACACAGTGGCAGTCGAAACTTGGCGTGAACAAATGCCTCTGTGAAATCCCGAGCTGGGCTCTCACTGCCGCCAGCCAGGTTATGTTTTGGTTCAGACAGGGTTAGGGTTAGGGTTAGGATAAGGTCTCGCCATCTGTCCCTGAATCAGGTTTCCTGTAACCCAGCGCAAACTCAGGAGTCAACCCGAATGTCTGCCATTTCTTTTTGCAATTGTCATTCAGGCTTTTTAAATATTTTTTGAATATTTCTAGCCCACTGGAATACAATATTCCGGGAACAACTTACCCCTCAGAATGGAGGTAAGATGAGTCTTCAGAAAAGCTGAAGTTGCCCATTGAATGTCAGTTGTTCTTGCACTTGTTGGTATGATTTAATATTATTTTTTTCTTTTTGGCCTTGCAGAAGATAGAATGGCATATCCAAGTTTTTGTGTTATTCTTGTCTACAAATGGTGAACATTTTATTTATATGCAGTATGCTGTTCAATATGGAGAAAGAAAACATCCAGAGTATATTTTCCTCCGGATTAATTTGAGTTAAAATACTAAAACCATACATACAATTATGACCGTCAAATCATATGGTTGCTACTGCTACGGCTGACCTTTAGTCTAAAGTGTACTTTGAATTTTGTGAAAAGCTATCCATGAGAGGGTCTGTAGCCCTAATTGCAGTGGTTATTGAAAATGGATCAGTGGATTTTCCTCATGTCAATGCTCACCTTTGGCGACTAAGAGGCTTCGTGTTTTCCTGTGCTTATCTTTCTTTCCCGGGAGACTTTATAGATTCTGGTGTTCCAGTTGGGTTATAACTGTCATATTTATGGCTTATGTATTTGCATGTTAATATTTGTATCCGAGTTAGTTTTTCTTTCTGTTATTATATATATTTTGCCCTCTATGTGATGCACAGCACGTATTGTTTGAAGCAGATTATCTTTTGCAGACGAGTCAGGAATCAACCCGAATGTATTTCGAATGTTTTATTAATCTTTTCACTTAATACGTACATATTAACATCTATTCATCACCCACTTTACCTGACCTGTCCCGGTACCTAAAGAAGCCAGTCTTACGAACCAACTTGAATCTTGGTGTCTTTAGGATTCTAAGCTACCCATGTCTGTCCGAAGCAATCTTCTGGATCTCTTCGGCCAGATCGAGAGAGAGTTTGAAAACCTCTACATTGAAAACATCGAGTGTGAGTACGAGTGTGACGCCACACATCATTCATTTGGGTTCTGATCTTTAAACCGTGAGCTGAACTAGACAGTTGAGGGTCTGTGAGCTTGGTCTGCCGTGGGACCAGTTTTGCCGAACCTCTGCGAGGGAATATTCTGTTGTGTTTAGGGGTGGAAATGTCTGACCGCAAAACTCCAGACTTGCATTCTGTTTGTTGACACCTCCGGCTGGATTGCAGTTGGGTGATACTTAGCGGTTAGCAGTTAGCGGTTAACAGCAACAGTTTTCTTGCCCCACAGTGCGCCGGGAAATCGATACGCTGAACGACAGACTGTCAGCGGATGGACAAACTGTCGATGGGGGAGACCTGACCAAGGGCGCTTTGAAAACGAAAGGTTTGACACGAAAACCTTTTTAAGTATTGTGCTGATTTCAGTACAAGAATTATTTTCTTCAGCATGTATCTATGTTTTTGTTAGAGAACATCGGGGGGGGGGGAGGGGGGGTTAAATTGACTTTATCGTTGTTCACTAACATTTAGCTCAGACTGCCTTAAATCTGACAAGTTATCAGACTAAGCAAGAAATCCTGCTTTGTGGAACACCACCCAGGATATCTTCATTAACCAGATAACTTGAGCCAAATGTTAGGATTTTCCAGTAGGAATGTCACTTGCCGTGCTTCCTATTGGATAGTTTTTCACGTTTTGGCTTAAGTTATCCAGCTAACTGGGAAATCCTGCTTTGTGGAATACCTCCCTGTTTTTCAGTATGTATCAATTTCCTGTACTTTGTGTAGTTATGGCTTAGGAAACTACCTGAGTTGCTGCTAAATGTCTTCTCCTGCCCCCCCCCCCTTTTTTTGTCGATTTTCTCTCACACTTTTCTAACGCACAGCGAGTCACAGCACCAGCCAGCTCTCTCAGAAACTGAAGACCACGTACAAAGCATCCACAAGCAAGGTAAAGACGACCGTGATCGCCTGTCAGTCGGCGCACTGAATCGAGTTAGAAATGACCCCGTCGATATATGTCTGCGATCGCGTCTCCTTTAAAATATCGGTATTATTAACATTGCGTTCGCAAAGACGAAGGCGGACTGTGTTTCTGGATGCCTTTAGAAATATCGCCTCCTGAAATGACGTGTCTGGCAGTGCTGCCAGATCGTTGATGAGTTAGCTAGCTCTCTACAATGCGAGAATACGCACGGAGCTGATGACTGATGACTTAAATACACTGGGCATGTGGATTTAAACTGCTATACGCTGCCTGTGGATTTACACTGCTCTCTTCTTTCACCCGTGATATAGCGATCACATTCTTTCCATGGCAAAGTAGGTGGACCACGCAACTTCAGTGTGGGAAACTGGGAGTTGTGGGGTGACTCATGGGTAACGGATCGTCTTCCCCGTGTACCAGTATGCATGACCGGCTCTACAGTGGGCTTGTTGTTACTCCTTTTTTTTTTTTTTTTAATCTAAGACTCTTGAAGATTTATATGTTTTGAATACATTTTTTTTTTTGACACATTTTAAAATGATCATAACCAAAGCTTCTAATCCAGAATTTGTCTAGCTTAGCCAATATGTAGCTTCTGAATCCGCAGCTTTTTCAGACTCGCAGCTGGCCCCGAACATTGAGGACGGCTTCGGGGAAGCTCACCCTGGGAGCGGGGGTCTGGCGCGGCCCCCCGGGGACAGGCGTGTTTCCGGGGGAAGCGCTTGGGTGCCCGTCTCATGGTCGCGGTTCCCTGAGAGGAGCTCTGCAGCTCACTGTGAATTAGCACAGCGGGGTCTGTTCTGGACGGCTGTTTGAAACAGACCAGACGAGTCACATTTTTGCTGTTTTCACCTCTGCTGAGAGTTTATTAATACATTAAAAGGAACCCAAGGGAATGCAAGGGAACAAACTGTTATTCTGTCTGGAAGTTTGAATAGTATCTTCATAGGAAACTATTAAGTCTAGCATTAATATTATTTATATTATATTATTAATTTTTCCGGCTGAACTTGTCATTGGTGCAAAACAAGCAAGAATATGGCTTATTGATGTGGTGATCTCAAACTCTGGGCCAGTTATAGGTAGCGTGAATAACTAGCAGCAGAGCTAGTCGTGCTTTGCCATGTTTAACCCTTCTGTCCGTTTCAGCAGCTTAATGTAGCTCGTGTTGCCACGGTTACATTGAAATGGGTCCGCTGCATCCGCCACGTGTCTAAGTGGTGTCTCTGTCCTGGTGTCCTCCCATAGTGCTTGAGACGTACTCGCGTCTTAAGGGTGTGGTGGTGTTGTTTTTCAGAGTGGGGGGGGGGGTCTTTTACTTAAATGTGTCAGAAGAGGGGTTGCTTTTTAGTTTGCAAAATAAGCATTGTTGTATTAAATTGAAAATGTAATTTTCAATTTGTACGGTCATATATATACAGTCACACTACTCTGACCCCATCTGATTCAAAGCCCAAAGTTTTTGTTTGTTTGTTTGTTTTATTTATTTATTTGACCTATTTCCTGCCCATAAACACTTTTCTTTGACATCATCTCTGTGTCTGCCTCCACTTTCATAAACATGGTGTCCTCTGCAACCCACCACCCCCACAATGTGAATTTTAGCCAAATTGTCCTCCAACTAAATTTCATAATGTTGAGAAACGGTTTGTGCAGAGTTCCGGGGAGAAGTGTCTTTCTGAGGATACACGTATTTACACTCATTTAGTTATTTTCAGACTGCATTAAACAGGATATTGATGTGTGGATTATGACGTGACCTTAAAGCACCGCAACCACTGAATAATGATGACACACGTATTTTTTTATTATTATTATTTTTTTAATCTAATTTCCGTAATAGATTTTCTAACAGTATGTTATCTGAGGCTAACAGTCCCTTTCTGGCTGAGGCCCTGAATCCGTGGGTGGAGATGGCCACTTGTGGAACTCGAATTTTTCGGTCGGTTTTGGCTTTTCGTTCCGCTTCCTTGCCTCGTCCGAAGGTTTCCTGACACTGTACAGCTGCATTTGGCCAAGAGGCCCAGTGCCGCGCAGCCCACAGTCTCTGGGAGGCTAAGGGCCAGAGGAAATTTCTGGAAGGCAATACCACCTCATGTGTTGATTGCAGTGAAAATAATCGCAGTGAAAAAATAGAAGCGAATAATTATCAGCCAATTTTCTTGTAAGTTTCTCAGGAATAGTGATAGATCCCAGTGGGCGCTACTGGTTTGGGATTGCGTGACCATTTAAAATGTTTTCGCTGCCAATCAAGACTGGCTTTCTAATTTTACTTTGGCAAATTTTGCTTTGTTGTTTACAGACACGACTGACTGCTAAAAAGCTTTTCTGTAAACCACCTGCTCCCCACCCCACCCCACCCCCACCCCTTAATATCACAGCTGGAAATTCACAAGTTCCAAAGTTGGAAATTATTGTTGTTGTTTTGTAGGCAGTTTGATTGCTTGTCGTTTGTAGTTTTGTAGTTTTCCCTCTCCGTTTACTTAGCAGTTGTAGCCATTGTCCATAATTGCAGATTACTTCAGTATAATTAACAAAATGAATACTTTCCTTTATAAAAAATAAAAATGTATGATTGGCCTTAATGTGTATTTTGGGGAATAAAAAAAGAGAAACATTTTAAAACGTGGTATTTGTATTATTGGGTAATAGTTTTCTGAGGTGAACGTGAGGTGATATGAATGAGAAGATCCAGGGGAAAATGGCCACCAATTGTTCCCGTACTGCCACTCCCAGAAAGCAGCAGGGCTCCCGTAAAGCAAGGCCCATTTTTATATGTTATAAAGCCTTAAAGTCTTGTTAAGATACCTGATTGGCAGATGATCTTTCTCGATCCTCCGCTGGCCTTCGTTACTGTGAGATTGATTTGAAGCTGCACCGATATTCCGGCCTAAAGTACTTTTAAGTGGTTTCTTTTGATTGCAGAAATATAAAAGGATCTTTATTTCCAACTGTGTCAAGCTGTGGTTATAATGGAAAGACTAAGGCTGTTTTTGAATGTTATAGATTTTTGGTTTGTTCCGTTTTAGCAAGCTTATAGATGGCCGCATTCGTCACTAGGCGATTTAGTCACTCCCTGTCACTGCTGGCTCTGCTTTTGTCCCCCCACTGTCACCCCCCCACCCTCCACGCAGCTCTGTTTCAAGCCTGGAAGGTCTGTGTGTGATGGCTTGATTATCTCTCTCTTCCCCCTCCACCACCCAGATCGTGTCCAGCTTCAAGGCCACCACCAGCCGGGCTGTGTGTCAGCTGGTGAGGGAGTATGTGGGTCACCGCGACGGGATTTGGGATGTCGGCGTTACCCGCACTGCGCCCGTGGTCCTGGGCACCGCCTCGGCAGGTAGGAGGACAGCCCTCCCCCCCCCCCCCTACAACCCTCCGTGTGTGTCCATATTTGTGAGTGATGATCAATAAGTTCTCTTCCATATATAAAATATAATATAGATATAGGACATTCTAGAACTGGAGGGTATTTTCTATCCCACATATCAATTCTCAAAGAATACCTGCTGTTACACAAAACGACACTCATTGTGTATGTCTTGTACGAATTACAGAAAAAGTGTTTAAAAATATCTCTTAAAATACCGTGTTTCCCATAAAGTGGCTTTTTTTCTCTTGTCCCTTGACCTTGCTGGTGATGACTTGAATATAATGCTTAAATTAAGCATGGAATCTATTTTTGTTATATACAAGCATATAATACAGATGTGAAGGCTGTGTAATGATCACTTTAAATATCCATAAATGTTGACTGAGGGCAAAGACAACAGCTGTTTCTGTAATACATGCCGTCTGAAATCTGGTTGCGCTGCTTCTCAGACCACAGTGCCATGCTGTGGAGCATCGAGACGGGGAAGTGCCTCCTGAAATACATTGGCCACGCCGGCTCAGGTGAGACGCCGCCTCACTGCGACAGCCGACACCAAGGGCCCCATCTGGTCTGAAGCCGCGGCATCATGTCGCTTTGGTGGTACACATCTTCAAAGGAGAATCCAGTGTGATCAGAGCTGTGAATCCAGATTCATCGGAGCTTTAAATCCAGTGAATCCAGTGTTATCAGGGCTTTGAATCCAGTGTGATTGGAGCTTTGAATCCAGTCCAACTTGGTTCCATCAGATCTCGCCTGTTTTTTTAGAAGATGTATCATGTCCAGAGTCACTGTATTCTGAATTCATGTTTAATGTTCCCATGTCATTTTTTCCACTGTAAAATACATATGTTTATATTTTATTTAATAATATTATGATTTTTTTTTCTTGCAGTGAACTCAATTAAGTTTCATCCCACTGAGCAGATGGCTCTAACAGGTATGAGAGCATTTCTGCATTTAGCAGATTCCTTTGTACAAAAAGTAATGTACAGGTGAGGGATCAGAGAGTAGGATTGGCCAGTGCTGAGCTCTACTGCAGCAGTTGGGATTGAAGGCTTCGTCCCAGGGCCTAACAGTAATGGGATTCGAACCCATGGCCTTCTGGACACAAGCAAAGATTTTCACCGCTACACAAACCAGGTTGCTCTCTCTGTAGCTGACTCCACCTGTTTTGTTGGCATTTTGCCCAGCTGTGTTTTATATGTCATACCAGTGTCATGAGTCACGTCTAACGACAGGCCCCGCCTTCGGTCAGGGAACACTCTCATTACTGTAAACCCCATTTAAAGAAAAAGTTTGGTCCCTTTCGTTCTTCTGGGTTTTTAACGGTGGTGGAGTTTGTCTCCATTACTGTCAGTGTTTCTGACTCCCTTCGCCCTCAGAATAAACATTTCTAATCTCTAGCAATATTCTGTTTATGTGGTTTATGTTCTAAAATCTGCTAATATTGGTGTTCAGGATTGCCGTACCCTCCTGTACCTGCCGTACGCCCATAAGGGAGTTGTGAGCTGGGTCTTGCCCCTTTGCCTTGGTTCTGGGCCCATCTGTGCCTCCTTTCACAGCCTCGGGGGACCAGACGGCTCACATCTGGAGGTACATGGTGCAGCTGCCCATGGCCGCCCCCGTGCCGGAAGTCAGCGTGAGTGTCTGGGGCTGGCTGGCCTTTTCCAAGCCGACGGCGCCGTGCTAAACGATACCATCCAGCAGAGGTTGAAAGTTCAGGTTCAGAGAGTACAAATCCAGACCAAGGTTTTGTTTTGACCGACCAGTTGAGTATAAAGAGTCACAGTCCCAGAGGATTCAACTAGTTGGCTGAAACTAAATCTTGGTCTGGATTTATATTTCCTGGACCTGAACTATCCACTGGACCCGATCCAGCAGATGTACAACGCTTCAGTCTCCAGGGCCCCTCTGGGCAATTTCCATCTTTTTAAAGAAACCCCACATCTTCACAGTCATGGGCTGTAGGTGAAGGGAACAGAGCCTGCATATAAACGTTCCCTGGGCTTTTGGAATCCCTACAGTCTGAAGTCTCTCTTTCGAGCATAATCTAGTTAAAAAAGGAAAAATATGTCCATGCCTTTGTGTTCCTGGTATTGAAATTCACCCAGAATTTATCAGCATGTGGATGTGGATTATTGTGGATGTGGATTATTGTGGATGTGGATTATTGTGGATGTGGCTGTGTGATGTGGCCTCTGATTGCGGACTCCATCCTCTGTCAGGCGCCCTGCGATGAGGAGGTTGACTTCTCAGACAAAGATGAGGTGGAGGGGGACCCCGACGGTCCCAGCGAGTGTCCCACGCTGCGGCTGGCCTCCGCCACGCTCAGGAGCCACCAGGGCGTGGTGATCTGCGCCGACTGGCTGGTGGGGGGCAAGCAGGCGGTCACCGCCTCCTGGGACCGGGCCGCCAACCTGTACGACGTGGAAACGTCCGAGCTGGTCCACTCGCTGACGGGTACGGGATGGGACAGGCTCGCGATGGAGCGAGCCGTCGCCTAGCAACTGGGGGCGGTCAAGGGAAGCGTTCGGGAGCGTTATCTGATTCTGGGAAAGCCGGAAAAGGTAGTTTGCGGCTGTAAGGGCAGAATCGCGGTAATTTGAAAAATGGAGCTTCAAGTGCCGCTGAGCCATTAACATAAAAGTAAGAGGAGAATGGAGAAGGGGATTAAGGCTGACGGAACCAAAGAGCTTCTCGGGCTTGTGTCTTTGTTCCAGGGCATGACCAGGAGCTGACGCACTGCTGCACCCACCCTACCCAGCGCCTGGTAGTCACCTCCTCCCGGGACACCACCTTCCGGCTGTGGGACTTCAGGGATCCTTCCATCCACTCTGTCAACGTCTTCCAGGGACACACAGAGTGAGTTCACCACCCCCGGGACCTTGGTAGATACTGCATACCGGTTTAGGAAGGGGGAGGGACTTCTTAGGGCGTAATACGCTGCCTCGCTGGATGGCAGTTACTTCACACCCCCGGGGTGGGGCGTTTTAAACCCACCCTGCCTCTCTGTGAGGAGTTTGCATATTTTGCGGTTTTTTCCTCTTACGGTTCCTAAGCATGTGGTTAGGTGAGTCTGTCTCTCAGAATTGTTTGTAGGGTGTGTGTGTGTGTGTGTGTGTGTGTGTGTGTGGATTAGGTTTATATGACATTGTGGGGACCAAATGTCCCCCACAATGCAATAAAAAGCTGTTATTTTAAAATGGTCCCCACAAAGATCTATTAGTTTTCACCATAGAAACAAATGGAGAGTCCCTACAAAGTTATAATTACAAACCTGTGTGTGTGTGTGTGTGTGTGTGTGTGTGTGTGTGTTCCCTGTGATGGACTGGCATTCCCACCCAGAGCCTTGTTCCCAGAGTTCCCTACAATGGGTTCCAGGCTCTCCATGACCTTGTACTGGATGTGATGTCATGCAAGATGGATGAATGGAAAAAAAACCATCTCGTAGGTTCAGGGCCAGTGACCTTGGGAACCATCAGTGCAATGAGTGACAGCATTCTTTCCCTTGGTAGTTTAGAGATGATTTTCTTCCAATTTTATTTATTAAAACATGCCATGGAAGGATTATATTAAGATCTAAGTGAAATTGTAGTAATCTCATCACAGTGTTTTTTTTTTTTTTTTTTGAAGTATAAGTAGTATATTTTGAAGTATAAGTAGTTTATTTTCCATGGATGTCAGTGTAGCTTTTTTGAAGCTAATTATACTTTTTTTGCCATGGGGTTTTTAATATTCAAAATATTATCCTTAATGCGATAAACTATCATAGATTAAAAAAATACATTTTACCCATAATGGGTGGTGATGGAAGGTCATCGTTCATGTTGGTGGCCTGTTCAAGACATTTCAGCCCAGAAACTGATATATAAACAAATAATGCTTTTAAGAAGACAACCAGAGATTAAGTTTATAAATGTGGAGTATTACAGTTTATAAACTAGGAAAATTAAACGGCTCCTTGGAGTTTACAAGTTCACGCATGTTCCTGTTAAACTAATATTGTCCTCCTAGGAGGCTTTTATCTGGCATGGTATACAGTGAGTAAAAATCTTTAAATGTGATCAAAATGTCATTGCTTTTGGTGTGTATGTGTGCAGACATGATAGCCCAGGTAGTCTAGGTAGCCCAAGCAGTCTCCTGGTGCCAAGCAACAGCCTCCAGCTCAACACATCTGAAACGCAAGAAATCATTATAGATTTCAGTCATAGACCCCCCCCTCCCCTCCCCAAAAGCCCCATATACATTTCAAGATAGCCCATAACTATCACCGACACATTCAAATATCTTAGCACTCGCGTGGGCAATACTCTTAAATGGAACATCAGCGCGGGCCACATTACCAAATAAGGTCAGCAGAGGCAGCTCAAAAAGTTCAAAGTAAAATGAAGTCGTCTCCTTCAGTTTTACACTGGCATAACTGAGAGCATGCTGACTTCATCCATAACAGTTCGGTACTGTAGCTCAGTCGCATGCAAAAAGCTCCAGCGTATTGGCAATAAATCATCCGATTATTGCCCCTCCCAACCATTAGCTGAGTCACTTTATCACAATCGTACTATGAGAAGGGCAAAGAAAACAAATCTCTGACAACTCTCTCCCTGCTCACTACCTCTTCTAGCTGATGCCCTCTAGGAGACGCTATAGACCTCTGCCTGCCAAAATATCCTGTGTTAGAAACAATATTATCTTGGAGTGTACCCAACATCTTATAGGTGAGAGTCATTCCAGTGGTTACTGGAAGGAACATATTTAATATATAAAATTACACTTTGACAATAGGTATAAAGTCTTTATTATCTTATAGTTCCCCACATGGGCGGCGTGGTGGTGCAGTGGGTAGCACTGTTGCCTCACACCTCTGGGACCCGGGTTCGAGTCTCTGCTGGGGTTCCATGTGTGTGGAGTTTGCATGTTCTCCCTGTGTGGGGGCTCCTGTTTCTCCCAGTGTGTGAGTGACTGGTGTGTGAGTGTGCCCTGCGATGGGTTGGCACCTTGTCCTGGGTCGTTCCCTGCCTTGCACCCGTGACCCTGACCAGGATGAGCAGTTCCAGAAAATGGATGGATGGATGGATGGATGGATGGATGGATTTCTACGCAGGTGCTATCAGTTGCGACACACACCTTCCTCGCTGCATGTTTACATGCGGCATTATTCGTTTATAGCAGAGGTCACTAACAGGCGGACCGCGGTCCGGGTCCGGACCCAGAAGCTGTCCCATACGGACCCGGACCGACAGCCAAAACATTTAGTTATTATTTAAAACCTGACGGGGCGCTTTTATTTTAACCGGCGCAGCGTTTGTAGTCTTTTCGGGTAGAGGTTTAGCAGTAGAACCGCCGTTTCCCACGCCAATGAACGTCAAACGCCTTTGACCGCCAAGCAAGACGTATGCAGCCTTTGTCTGCGCTAATGTGCCTTTCATGTTCCTAACAGAGTGGCTGCGCTCTCCTGAAATCGTGAAGCTGAAAAGTTTTCAAATACAATATATATTATATAACAAGTTGGATAAATAAACATAGTTTATCGTTGATTTCATGTTCGTTGAAGTTTCTGCATTTTAACATATGTATAAAGTAATGTTATCTGTTATATAAATAAACTCATGTGAAACAAAAAATGTACGTTTTCAGGGTTGCCAAATCTCAAGCATCTGGCATGACACTCACGCTTTCAGACTCATGCTGGAAATCTTACGGCAAATCTATATTATTCCATTATAAAACCTAAAATTAACTACGTCAAAGGTGTATTTACACGGTTAAATACAAAACCAGACTATTTACAAGGTAAGAACTTACATGTGTGCAGACATCTCGAATTGAAAATCTCACTCCAGCCAGCTGGCCGAAGTTTACGTGACAATAAATAATGTCAAAACGTTTTTGAATTGTACTGAATTAATTTGATTGACAGTCAGGTACTGATTACATACAATGTTGATGCAACTAATAGGCTACTTAAATATATATCACACTATTAAATAGTTAGACATTATGATCTTCCGGACCTTTGCTTCAAGATTTTTTCTCTAACTGGACCTCTATAAATTTTAGTTGAATACTCCTGGTTTATAGCATTATTATTATGTCTGATATTTCAACTTTACACATTCTATAACATGTTGGGTATGCTTCAAGTTAACATTATTTTGTTCTTACTTTTATGATGCGTAAAATCGCGTTTATGCGCACAAATAATTTGTCTTCGCACTAACATTTACAACTATTGATTGTTTCTTGTTATTGTAAATATAAGGAATAAATGAATGACTTTCTATCTGGTGTTAGCTAGAAAAGATAGTATAGTTGGTTAGTAATTGTTCAGCTCACAATTATTAGACCAGATGGAAATTTAAACTATGCTTGACTTTTTTGATAGCGTGTGTCTGAACAAGAGAGAAGCAGTGGAAGGTACATCCATATCCAAAGGATTAATGTGAGGTCATAACAGCTGGTTCCTCTACGCAAAGTAAATGTTTTTAATGGCATCATGCGATGATGATCACATAACCTTTCCTGAATGGGTTGAACAAAAAATGTTTCTTTGAAATTTAGCTTGCAGTCCTGGAGAAGTCATGGAAAAGTCATGGAGATTTGTTGATCAAAAAGTGTATGAACCCTGTTCTATGTCAATCTTGTAAATGTTTCTTGGGATTATTTTCTGTGAAATCACAGCGCCAAATCACGACGCTTTATGTCTGTGCCACAGCACTGTGACATCTGCCGTCTTCACAATGAGCGACAATGTGGTCTCAGGCAGCGATGATCGCACCGTGAAGGTGTGGGATCTGAAGAACATGAGGTCTCCAATAGCAACCATCCGCACTGACTCCGCCGTTAACCGGTGAGGACACCGTTCCCAGTGCGCGTGATCCCGCTGTACATAATCCTGGTTTAATCCTGGTGTGCATAATCTCAGTGTTATAATCCTGGAATGCCTAATCCCGGTGTGCATAATCTTGGGTTAATCTTGGTTTGCATAATTCCGGGTTAATCTCGGTGTACATAATCCCAGTGTGCATATGCAGATCACTGTGTGTGAGGATGCTCTTGGTATTTTAACAATGCCATAAAATGCCCTATGTTTTTTTTTACATTTAAATGTGTTTTTGCTTCATCTTGAGTATTGTCCTGCTTTTTAGCGTAGTTCAGGTTTTTTGAAATGCTCCTATGTTTGCAGGATCAGTGTCTCTGTGGGACAGCGGCTCATTGCCCTCCCACACGACAATCGGCAGGTCAGGCTCTTCGACATGGCTGGAGTCCGATTGGCCCGCCTGCCCCGCAGTAACCGACAGGTAACTGGGCCCTTCACTGCGCAGATAAAACATGCCGTCAGATGCTCACTCCTCATTGGCCGGTGCCCACGTGGTGGGGTGACTCTACCGGGAGCTGGGAGGGAACAAAAATGTGGACTGTGTGAGGGTTTCCAAGGACTGGATTGGGAAACACTGATAGAGGTTTTAAGATTTCAGCTGAGGTTTTAAAGCCACTTATCCACTGAAACATACATAAGCGCTTTGAGTACTCGTAGGAGTAGAAAAGCGCTATATAAATGCAGTCCAAGTACCATTTAACTTACAATTTCTACTTCTTGACCAGTTACATTTGGGTATTATCGTTAGGAATTCATTTTACGCACCATGGTCAAAAGTACAACAGCCAGACCCTGGAAATTCCTCCTGAACACAAACACCTCTTGTCTAAGTCCTCAGTTCCTCTTGTGCTGTCTTACAGAGGACCAGCTTTTGGAGCTTGCATGTAGGGCATGTAGGGCATGGAGTGCAGCATCAGGGCAGGTTCTGACAATCTGCTGTCTCCCCCAGGGGCACCGACGCATGGTGTGCTGCACAGCCTGGAGCGAGGACAACCCCTCCTGCAACCTGTTCACCTGCGGCTTTGACCGACAGGCCATTGGCTGGAACATCAACATCCCGGCTCTGCTGCAGGAGAAGTGAGACGCTGGCCCGGGATCACAGGAGAGAGGACTCCCTGCCCCGCTGCCTTGATTAGAACTTGCCCAAATGCGAGAACTTCTGCACCTTTGTTTTCATTCAATATCTTTTTTTTTTCTTTGTCTACTGTTGAAAAGAGTGGTAGAATGTTGTATGAGGGTGTATTTTTCTAGAAAGCAGATCAGCTGATGATGATGATGATGACATTAAACGACGGCTCGGATGCTCTGTACAGAGTCGTGGTCTTCGTTGCGCTGGTGCTGTGCGGCACAGTCTGTCCTGAATTTCCACGCACTGTGCATCCAGACTGTGCACCGCAGTGCCAGCAGGATCCCGGGCTCGCCGCTGGGTCCCCGACAGTATCGCAGCAATCGGCGTCACAGTTTCATGGTAGGCGACCCGTTACGCGGCTTCTGTTACGAGACGCCTGGCCTGAGCTTATGTGGCGGTAGACTCCACAGCTCCCCCTGCAGGGGAGAATTGGACCGGATAGCTAGTAGTCACCTCCTCGCTCAAGCGTTGAGGAACCAACAAATGTGTGGTCTGGTGTGGATAGTTAGTGAGGACCCACCTTGGCGTAACAGGGTGGTATATAATGCAACTACTTCAGCAGACTCACCGCTGCTGAGTGTGTCTATGGTGTTACATCTTTGATTTACTTGAAAGGGAAAAAAATGCTTTGGATGCTAACTGAACCACAGCGACATTCTGACCAGATGGTGTGAGTCCTGTTCTTCTCCCTCCACTCACTGGGGCCCCCCCCCCACTGCTATGCCTGTGAACAGTGTACTTGGGTATCGTCGCGGTGACGGCCGGAACTTTTCTGTGTAGCTTTAGTGTCTTTCAACATGCTTCTGTAAAGAGAGGTCTGTATTAAACACATCCGTCACAGTAACATCGCTGAGGTCACTTTGTACAGTTCTCATTCAAGGAGACGTAGTAATATTCTGCTGTAACATTCTGAAGAGATATTAACCGGACACTGAGGCAATATATAAATATATATTTATTTTTAATACACAGAAAATGTTTGAAGGGGAAAAGCCCCAAATATGCATCGCACCTGTCGTATCAGTTAGCCTTAGGAATAATTTTGTCGTCTCTTGATATATGCATGTGTTTGTGAAGGTGACAGTCAGTGTAGTCTTGGTGAGCTGTGACAGTCCCTCGTAATCAAATCTCCGCTGGTTTTGCGGGATTAGCAGCTGTGTAAATATCTGCTCTTTGAGCTGAATGAAAAGCGCGCAGAGGCTTTTCAATGCTGTTTTTTTTTTTGTGTTTAGACACGTTTTATTTCACAAGTTTGGTTTGCTGTCATTTTCTGTCAGTATTTTATTGGGTTTATGTGCTGTTTACTGCATTTTTATGACCATTTATATGAAACTTTACAAGGTCTAAGTTGATCTTTGTCATTTTTCAATGATGTGCACAGTTCCTCCGCTCCATTATAATGTTACAAAAAATGTGTTTTGTAAGCCTTGTATGTTTTAAAGAAAGATGGGTGTGGAGGTATTTGAGTCTGGGAATGTGCTTTTATATTGTATTTGTAATCAGGATGACATTAGATACAAGGTTATGTCTGTCACAAGCTGCTGTTTGTAGCTGTGAGTTCTGCATGCTGTATACTCTTGTAGCAGTTGTGAATCTGAACATTTACCTTGTTCCCTGTTGAATGCTGACTGGGTGAAGATATTTTCATACTCAGGTTTTCGTGTGTATTTCGTTTGGACTGCCCGTTCAGTGTTGTTCCCATTGTAGCCACAGTCCAGCAACACATGGATGTCTGTATGTCTCTGGACACATTAAATATTTTCCCCTGGAAATGTTCTGTCTGTGAGTGCAGGGAATGTTATGCTGTTTGCCTCTCAGTCAGTTTAAGAACAGCATTTAGGAGGAAGGATCACATGATCACCAGAAGCTTGGCTAATCAAATAAAATGTCACTTGAAGTCTCTTGATTCTTGTACTTGGGCCAGCTTACGTTTAGCCAGTTAAGGCAAGAAAACATCTTTAGGAAGACAGGAAATGACATAATCATGAGCAGTCCCACATAAGAAGGGCTTGCCCCCACCACCCTGTCTCCCTGCACATTTGCATATTTGACAGCAATTCATCAGAAATCAGACGTATGATATTTTACATTTATTACTACAAAGTTATGACATGCCCAGCATCCCTGTGTTAATAAGAATATCAGTCCAAGACCTGGATTCCGCGGATCTTTAGCCATTGTGGTTGAGACTTGCTAGTTTGTCTGACATATTTGTTGACTTTTATTTACCTTATCAACACGAATCTGTAGAAAATCATTCCTGTTTGCTCTGGATGGATGTTCTGCTCACATGTCTGTTTTAGTGCAAATGATCAACGCAGGCAGAAATCGGCAGGCATTCACTAAATTCACAATTTTTATTTACTAGGACAAAAAAAAAAACAATTGATAATGTACAGAAGTTCACTATACATATTTTACATCTGTATTCTTTTTTTATTTCTTATAAACAAATGCTAGGAACACAGCTCTGATTAGACCGTTCAAATGTAATTATTTACACATATATTACTTTCATGCACAAAGCATGAGGGGCTGCTTGCTGTAACCAGGCTGGATCAGACAAAGTCACTTGTGATTCGGGGTTTCAGTGCAGTGGAATCCGGTGTCATCCTGGTGAAGTTTCATCACCGCGCACTATTATCTGCATGGTGTCCAAATACAAGAACGGGAACGGAAATCCGGAACGGATTCCAGCGTAGTGGGTGACATGAAAACTGGTTTGGTGCCAAGTGGAAAGATCCACATTATATACATGAATTTCTGAGGCAAGTTCACCTTGAAACACAAGTGGTTTTCTGTACTCATTCTCAGAATAAATCTCCTAGACATGTGATTTGGTGATTGTTTTTCCCGCACGAAATGAATGGCCTTTCATGGCTGAATTCGGAGAGCTGCACTCTCGGGGTAAGTTACACGTTTACCTGCGTTTTAAGACAGAGTGAGGATGACACTTCAAAGTTGAACAAATATGTCTGTTCTCAGCTAGTCAAGTGACACCTGTGACACTCGTCTTTTTCCTTAAAAAATGCCAGTGGAAGATTTTTTCGTGGCACATTAGTTTAGTTATTTATTAGGCTGGATGCTTGATAAACCACCTTTAGGGACCTGACCTTATCCTCATGGTAAAAGACTAAGTTGCCTCTTGGGCAGATGGGTTGCTTTGTGGATCTAAGCCAGGGGTGGGCAATCTTATCCAGAAAGGGCCATTGGATATGCAGGTTTTCGCTGCAACTCCCTAATTAGGTCACTAAATTCGACTGATTGGCTGAAGAGTCCTCACACCTGGGTTTGAACAGCTGACCTACAGGTTATCCCAAAAACCTGCGTAGACACTGGCCCTTTGCGGATTCGATTGCCCACCCCTGATTTAAGCACTTGTCTGAGTGCAGATGTAATTTCTGACCACTAGATGTCACTGTCCCTTAAGATACAAAATTATAAACCCAACATAAACCCTACTCCTGTTTGAGCAATATCTACCACTGACATGGCTGAGGTGCCTTAAATATGCTTTTGTGGATCCTAATAAAGAGAAAAGTTTATGAGTAAAAGCTTCCATGTTAAATATGTAAAGCTTCAAACTTGTCAAAGTTGTCATAGAAAACTTGGGATAGATGTTTGATTATAACGATGACGATGATGGCATGGTGGTGCAGTGGTTAGCACTGTGCCCTTACACCTCTTGGAACAGGGTTCAAGTCTTTGCCATATTTCCACATGTATGGAATTTGCATTATCTCCCCTCCCCCAATCCAAAAACATGCTGAGGTTCACTGGAGTTGCCAAATTGCCCATAGGTGTGTGAGTGCATTCTGACATGGGTCGACACCCCATCCTGGGTTGTTCCCCGCCTTGTGTCCATAGGCTCTGAACCTCCTGTGACCCTGAACAGGACAAGTGGTTACAGAAGATGGATGGATGAAGATGATGAATATTGAAATAACTGGGAATGCCAGGGAATGTTTGTTTACTATAGAGATAGCGGTTTAACTGAGACAATATTTGGAGACTATCTCTGTAGTACACAAACATTCCCAGACATTACCAGTTGTCTTTCAGTGATTTGTACTATTACAGAGACGGTGACACTTCTCTTTTAGCCGACCCCATCTTGCTCTCCAAGACGCGCTTAGCTTTTAGCTTTGGTCGTGAATTCTGACGACTCCCAAAGCCTCTCGCAGCGACCTGCCTGGGCCGCCTGGCTGAGCCCAGACGTCAGGCCCACTGGCACTAAATGTTAAACACACACCAGTCTGAGGCTTCTGGTGGAAAAGTAATCTCGCTCACAAGTTTAAGGTGGGGATGGGGGGTGGCAGTACTGCCCGTGTATCACAACACTGCTCCCGCCGTCGAGACTGTTTGTAATTAAAATTTTCATATACTTTTATAGGCTTTGCTAACGGTAATTGCAAAATGGCTGCCTCCATCTGGCAGTGCCTACTGTGGGCCAGCTCGCGGGTTATGCCCGGGGCAAAGCTGTTACAGGTCATGTAATACCCATTATCTGCACGCTAAAGAGTCACTCGCTTCGCCTGACACTGGGTGTTTTATAAGCTCCATGCTTAAGGAGACCCACTCATCTTTTAGAGGCGAAGCGGCGCGGGGGGCGGGGGGGGCCGTGAATAACGGCCATCCCAAGAGTGCTCTCTGCTAAAGAAACATGGTGTACCACAGAAAGGCGATGACGGCAGATGATGTGGCTCGACTTTCGGGGGCACTGAATGGCGCCATTAATGCACCGGGTTGATGTGATTTTATACTCTTGGGTTTTGTTCTGGATACAAGGCCGGTGCAAAATTTGTTTCCTTGGTGCAAAGATCTGCCCCTATTTTCTGAGTGAGACTGGGGCGGGGAGCAGTGAGGGGAAAATTGAATGTCAGAATGTCACATTTCATGCCACTTGGCTGACTGAGCACAGCTTTAGTCTACCTGCACTAAGTAGTTCAGTGCAATAATAGTGTACTAATCAGTGTTATTTCAGTGTCAGCTTGTCTCACAATGCCTGTTTGTGTCTACTGTTTCCTGTCAGTATTAGCCTGTATCACAATGCCTCTATGTGTTATTTCATTTCATTGTTAGCCTGTCTCACAATGCCTCTATGTGTCAGTTCATTTCAGTGTTAGCCTGTCTCACAATGCATCTATGTGTCATTTCATTTCAGTGTTAGCCTGTCTCACAATGCCTCTATGTGCCATTTCATTTCAGTGTTAGCCTGTCTCACAATGCCTCTATGTGCCATTTCATTTCAGTGTTAGCCTGTCTGACAATGCCTCTATGTGTCATTTCATTTCAGTGTTAGCCTGTCTCATAAAGCCTCTAATGCCATTTCATTTCAGTGTTAGCCTGTCTCACAATGTCCCCGTCTCCACCATCTCATTTCAGAGTTTCTCTGCAGCCCATATTCTGTGCAGTTTGCCTGGTTGGCGCTGGGTTTTCTTTCTAATTGCGGGTAATTGTCACGCATCTTAGCTCATACTTCACCAGCCCATGGGAGACTGGACTGGCAGCGGTGTAGGAGAAGTAGGGGGGGGTTGGCTGAATGTAAACCTTCACCCCCCCCCCCCCCATCCATGCTCACACGCACACCAGGAAGTGGTCCTGCTCCGGGGGCTTCCGTACCCAAGTCCCGAGGCCAGCCTCATGCAGGACCCTGAACCACCTCTGCTTGACCTTCTGGTAGAGGCCTGCCCTCTGCTTAGCCTCTCCATACACCAGCGGCTCCGTCGTTCCGCCTGCTCCAGGTCCAGGCAGCTGCAAGGAGCGGGGACAGAGTGCAGCCGACGAGCTATCAACGACTAAATACACAGCAGAGCAAGAAAACGGCAGACCTGCGTGATCTCCCCTCCCCCCAGCTGCGATTTGAATTTCATCAGCAAATTAACAGCCTATCTGCCTTAGCACATTTCCCTCATAGCAACGAAGAAGGTAAATGGGTAAAGGAATGGAAAATGATTAGCATCTTTAATCTGGTGTGCGGTGCAGGGCGAAGGGAGTGTTTTTTCTGTGGGAAACGGCTTTTCGGCGGGCGTCATCACAAAGCGGGAATGGCTGGCGACCGCGGGGATCTGCGGCCCGCACCGTATGTTTCCATTATGCAAATTAAAGCACACTGTTCTCCAGCTAAGAAAATAAACTCTAATAATAGGCTTCAAAGCAGCCAGAGATTAAGATGTAAGACGCGAAAGGCCCGCAAGTCACTAGAAATGAGTTGACCTGCTATTTTTCTGTAAAATACTTGGTGTAGTGATCCCTGTGGCTGGGGGTGTATCGTACGAGCACTGGGGGGGGGGGTGATTAGGATGACTGATTTTATTGTTTCGACTCAAAGTTCTGTAAAGGCTGAGTGCTGCATTCTGCCGAGCTCTGCTGGGTTTGGTGCTCCAGGACCTGAGGGCTGGGCCGGGCATGGCCAGCTCAGGTGGCATCAACCCAGTGATCTCACCTTGTGGAGCAACCTCGCCCAGCGGGAGAAGAGGGCCCGTTTACAGATCCGAGAGGGGGCCCCCGAGGGGGCCCTGGTGCCCCTGGAGGCATTCAGCACCTCCGGCTGGGTGTCGCCGATCGTCCAGTTCAGGCTGGAACTGGGAGGCTTCCCCGGCTGCCGGGGGGGGCTGCGGCCAAGACCTGCGAGACGTGATTATGTCAGCTTGACTAATTGTTAGCGGACGTTAATATCCAAAGCTCGCTAAAGGCTAATAAGAAGGCTAATACCAAGCAGTGGTTGAGATTTCATGGTAAGTGTGACACAATCTCTGACAGCACCTGAGCCACGTCGCCACCTGCTGTCTTGACATTCGTTATTCTGGGAGCATCATTTGATTTCTATGCACGAGTGGCACAGTTTGGTTAAAATTGACTTAATTTCTACTGTGGTTGTTTTTACCTCATTCAAAAATGTGTGATTACGGACGACTGGGCAATTTTAATCTGTCTAATGCTGCTTTTTAAATAGTCTTCATCAGGATGATAATTAAATTTTAATCGCGATTATCTTGCCATGCAATTACTCGTATCTCCAGTTGAGCACGCGTCACCCCTGACGGAGTGCGCTTTGATTGCGGAGGCCGCTGGCAGACACCCCGGCCGCATCTGCGTCTGAGGTCATGTGCAGTGACCAAACTCCCACCTCTGCTGCAAGGGGGCCTAATGTCCACAAAAATTGCTCTGAATTTTAAAAAAATTTTCATTCAGATAGCTAGGGTCACGCTGGGCATTTCAATGGCGGTGAGAGTACAATGTAAGTATACCTGTGCTGATACGTACAGTGCAAGTGTGCCTATGCTAATACGTACAGTGTAAGTGTGCCTATGTTAATACGTACAGTGTAAGTGTGCCTATG